ATTTTAGAGTATTCTTTTCCTCGTTGTACAGTTTCAACAGTGGATACTGTCTTTTTCAAACTTTATCGATATAAAATAAACTCCTTGAAGTACACACATCCACAGCTATCTTAGTTTTTCTCTTTCTCTTATCTTTTTTTTTGTTTCTGTTGTTATTAGAATTTGATAATGAGTTGGAAGAAAATCACAAGGCAGAGTCTTTTTTATCAATTATCATCGCTTTGATGACTCACTATTGCATTATGGTAATAACAGAAACAAAATGATAAAGAGAAAAATTGAAGTGATTGTAGATGTGTGTATTTTCTAGTACATTTATTTTTATATCAATAAAGTTGAAAGAAAGCAACATCATCTGTCGAAATATGATAACATGAAAAAGGATATTTTTTAATAAGATGGAAAAGATTTATTAAGAATTTAATGCATCGTCCATATCTGTAAATAGACCATGTGAGCTTGATACAGTTCATAATTGATTTATCTTTATTGCTTGAGAAGCTATTTAAATACTAATATTTATTTTGATTTTTTTTGTAGCAACATAGGAATTTATTATTCATATTCGAAGAAAAATATTATTAAGAAAATTTCTCAAACAATCATTAATAGTTGTAGTTAATCTGTAGAACAGATTTGTAAACAGTCGATAATTTTTGAACTGATTCACAGAGCTTTGTTGTATTGTTATTATTAATCGATTATTGGGAATAGCTTCAAAGAAGAGTTATTTTTCAGATTTTTACAAGCGTCCAGTACGAAATATCATAGTATAGTCTTTTATAGCCGTGATGTTTCTTTTTGATTCCTAAACGTCAAATGTTAAATTTTTTTCTTCAATCTTTTTAGGCAAACCTAACGTTTCTCTTTAAGTGACAACGACCTAAACCTAAATTTGATCATTACCAGAAGAGCTTAGCTGACATGACACAATTTTGATTCTGGTTTTTTAAAAATAAAATAGACTACAATTAAAGACATAAAACAGTTTGAACGAACTGAAGAAAAGAAAAAATAATAGTCCTTGAACCAACACTATTTGATTATTTTTGATAAGAGAAAGTAAATTCTCTATCAACAAGTTTTATCACAGAAAAATGGCATGTCGATAAAAAATTTTCTCACCAGTAAAGATCAAACAGGGTACGAGTTTGGTATAGAGTAGTTCGTTTTTTTACAAATATACTCCAGCAGAAAACATAAATATTTGTTTTCATTAGACAATTGTAAACGCAAAAAGGTTTTTTTTATAGAGCTTTGAAAGCCTAGAAATAATGTTGATCTCTATTTTTTATATTAACCAATTAAGGAGAAGAATCTTCTATTGCAGTGAGAGGTTTAGTATTAGATTTTAAACTTAAGAATATTACTTTAATTAAGGAAGCATTTTTTCGTAATATTATTGAGTAATTTTGTTTTTCTTTTTATATGTCAGTAGTGAATGTAGTTTTTGAATAGAACTACTTTTATTAATAATTAACAAGAAAATCTGCCAAAAATTTATGTTATTTCCAAACAGATAACATTTTTTTATTTACTAACACAAAAATTTGTTCATGATTATTAAGGCCACATATTTGTTTAATCCAAGCACTACACGTTTCATTATCCATAAATGATGATAATTTAAGTGAACCTTTATTACATGAAATTCGAAGACTAATTAACTTTGGTGATGACCGTAGAATCATTTCAACTATTGATTGAATGTCTCTATTCATAAGTCTACTCGATTGATTATTAAAAACAAAATGATATAAACAAGGAAATGTTTTTAGTAACAAATCAATATCTTTTAAAGTAACACGACCATCAGCATCACCACCATATAACCAAAGTTCACTTATTCGCTCAAGACTACAATCAGATAAGCGTTTACATAAATAAATTAAATCTCCAAACATCATTGATAATGCTTTTAATTGTGGACTAACTATTGTATTATTTGCAAGATATTTAAAAAAAGGAATATGTACTTTACAACTTGTTGATCGAATATAATGTAAATAACTGAGATGTGGTAATCGAATATTTTTATTATGATTTTCAACATTATTATTATTTTCATCTTCCGGTATATTTACTGCATTGATTTGAAGTATTTCGATTCCTGAAAAACGATTAATAACATATAACCAATTCTCTATTGGCGTTGAATCATGTTGTCCGTCCACTATAAGTGTTTGAACACGTTTTGCCGGTTGTTCAAATAATTCTATATTTGTTGTTTTAGCTAATTTTGCACTCGGTGATATTGTTACACTCATATTTGTCTTAAATTCTGTCATATCATATGGCACAGTATCAATATGTAGTGTTTTAGTATCAGCATAGCAACATATTGGTAAATTAGCTTGTTGAAATGATTCTAAAATAGAATCGATACTAACAGGTATCATATCTGATGTTAAACAAATTCGTATTTTAAAATAAGTATGCTTTAAATTTGATAAAGTTGATAACATATTATGCCAATTATATCCATCACCATAACTAAGATCATTTGTATCTATATCTAGTGAAAGTAGTTCAATGGTTGGCATATTACTAACAAGTTTATCTAAATCTTCATATGTTAATGCATTTTGATCAGTTGTTTGAAAATGAAAAAATTTTATATGTTTGGGTAACATTTCTAAAGTAGCATTTTGTCGTAATTCTTTTGTCGTATATTGAGCTACTTCAATATTAAAATGTATTAAATTTGGTGAACGTCTAAACATTAAAATAAGATCATCTAAAAGTGCCACACTAATTGTTAATCGTTCGAGATAAAAATTTTCTGTTATCTTTGCATTATGTTGTAATCGAATACCATTTTCAACACCCCATAAACGTATTTCTTTAAAATAATTAAATGAACAAAAAAGATATTTATCAAGTAATATATGTGTTGAATATGTTAATTTTATTAATGCATCAGCATCAATAAAAACTTTTTCAATCAGATAAAGTTTCGAAAGAATTTCAATATCATCATTTGTAAAATCAATTAATCGAAGTTGTTTTATATTTGGAAATAATTCATAAAGCGAATCATAATCTTTTGTTAATTGATTAAAATAATAAATTTGTCCAGGAGAATTCCAATTACTTACCACTAAATTTACAATTGATTCAGCTGTGTATAATAAAAGATGATTTGACCATCGTTGAAATTGACTAAAAGTTAAATGATGAAGATCTGCATCATGTCGATATTGACTTATAGTTTGTTCTAAACGAGTATTTAATTGTCCAAAACTATTAATAATATCAAACGGTTTTAAATAAATACAAATTTTAAGTAGAATTTCATCAGGTAATTGTTCTAGTTTCGATAAATACATATTGCATTACAAAAAAAATCGATTGTGTGATACGTTTTGTTTTTTTTATACGACCTTTTTTTTTTCTTTTGAATATGACACGTTCTTTTTTATTTCTTTCGTCACTATTAAACAGAAAGAAAACCTTGATGACAACAAAAAGGTAAAAGCAAAAGCAGCGTGATAACATCAAAATATTATTCATCGATATTGCATTAGATCTTTTTCTTGGAATAAAGCAAAAAATATGTGAAGATAAAAGAATTTTTGTTTTGATTTCGTAGAAATTCATTTGAATAGAAAAATGACAATAACTGTTATGAGACACAGAAATTCAAATAAAGGAGACGTATATTCTTTGTTTATTATGAATGAATCATTTTTTAATTTCGAAAATCATTAATATCATAAAATATATGTTTGTAGATTCAAGTTTTTTTGTACATGAACATATCTATCGTTCTCTTTGTGGCTTTCTATTAATAATGATATGCTGAAACGATCAATTTTTCTAGACAATTTTGAATTTCTGTAAGATTTTTTTTCACTTAGAGCTGATTTTAATTGAATTAAATATTTATCTAGTATATTATCGTCATTCATTGTTGCGTTCAGTCTAAGAAGAAATTGAATCAATTTCTTTGTGCAAGACTATTATATATGCTATGTTGAAATTATTTATAAAAATGAGTAAATTGATATGCTTCGTTTTCCTGTGTATTCATACTAAAATTTCACTAGTTTACATGCCAAATGTTCATTCGAAATTCTGTACAATTCATCAATCTTTGAATTTTATCTTTTAAATATCTGATTGAATTCATTGAATTAGAATTCAAATTGACACCACAAATGTCTCTGTTAATCAGGATTAGAGCTCTGTAAGTCAACTTGACTCTCTGTCAAACGTTTTTCATCATGCAGTCTACTGCTCTCTATATACTTTTGTATAATTCATATATAAAAACTCAAGACAATCGTGAAACACTCATTATAACCTACGTAGATTATTCTGTGAAAATACTTGAACATAGCGGCAAATTTTCAATAGCTATTGTTTCCGAAAAGTTTTCAAAAATATGATCCAATAATTTTTTTATCTTTCTAATAGAATTATTCTCGAATGAAAACAGAAATTGCTTGTCATCAATAAGAGACAAAAGTCAACAATCATATTATCGCTTTTATATCCTAGTCATAGCATTTGAAATCTTGTAATTTGATGATACTACGTTCAAATGTCAATCTTCCTCAGTTTCAAAAGGGGTTTTCTGATAAGTTTTGTAACTATGGTAGAATCTCTTAATGCTATTTTCATGTGTTTCTTATTTATATAAAAATGCTCAAGTTCTATCAAATATCCAGACTGAAATGAGATAGCTAATTTGACATAAATAAATGAATCAAACTTTTCGGCTTGGACACAATCAAAGGACTCCAGACTGGACACATATGGTCAATTTTATTATCTAAAAATACGAAACTCAAGAAAAAAGAAGAAGTGTTCGCCTTAATGAATACAATAATGTACGGAGCTGTTTCAACAAATTTTCTATACACACACGCACACTGATTTATAAGTGCCAATCAAATGAAGAGATGAAAAATAGTAAAACAAGAATGATGTTAAAAGAATCATTGCACACTAATCTAGTCTGTTATTTTGTTTTTTAATTAGGATAGAAACATATTTCAATGCCATCCAGTTTTGTTTAGAAGTTTATCTTCATTAAGAACTGTTTTCCAATCAAGTTCAAAATATTTTTTATCATAACCTTCAATTAAATCCCATTCTTCATTTTTTTCACTTAATGTTCGTGATGTTTTTGGAAGAATACCAACAACTTCTTTATATGGTATTACTTTTAAACAATTTGGCCGTGATAGATCATCAGGTAGAATAATACCTATGAATAAAAGATAAATAAAAATAATGATTTGTCTAGATGAAAAATACGTATAATACCTAGTTTACGAAGAAATTCAATGGATTGATCACTATTAAATGTAATATCTGTATTTGTTTTAGAACGAATCCAATTTTCTATTTCAAGTTCAAGATTTTTTTTTGTTAATGTCATATTTTCGTTTTGCTTCCAGAATATGAACATATAAACAAGAAGACTAGAAATAAACGAAATTATCAATAAATTAACTTTAGGTGAATTATTTTTTTATCGTTCTTTGAGATCTAGCACTTAATTTAAACTCTACATAATAAGACTATTGTTAAAATGATAGCATCATAATTATTTTACTTACACTTCTTTACTTAATTCATCTTCAGCACGATCAATAATCATAGCTAATAATTGTTTATTCGATGCAATATTTTTATAAAATAATAATTGACTCATATGTGATAAATAATTTATTTTTGATCTATGAAAATTTCTTAATGACCATAGACCAAATAGTAAGGTTAAACTACTTCCTCCAATAACTAATCCTGGTAATGGATAATTTGCCATTGTTGTTATTAAATGTGTTACAAATGTACCAGTACCAATAAGAAATGTTAAACGAATAAGTTGTTGTTCAAAATTTCCTATTTGTAATTTTCCAACAGGTAATAGTTGTGTTAAACTTTGTAATGGTATATCTCGAAATGCTTTTAGATATAAACGATCTTGTCCTTTAAGACGTACAGCTAAAATAACACGTTTGAAATAATCTCTTGATATAGTTTGACTATTTTTTTTAAAGAATTTTTTCCACCAAGGTTTATCTTCAACTAACATATGTTCACGACCAAGTATCCAAAATTTTAAAACATCATAATCATAACCATCAATTTTAATATTAATATTTGATGATAATAATGAATCTTCATGATGAATAAATTTATCAAGAAGAATATTTCGTGGTAATTCAGTAAAGTTGGCTCGATGAAGTAAATCATTTATTTTTTGTAATAACCAATATTCATTATCTAAACGATCACGATATGATATACGACGATTATCAATTGTTTCATTATCAGGATTTAATGGATTAAATAAATATTTTAATTCATTTAATATTGGATGATAATGTTGAACAACAGCACTATCAAAACCATGACATAATTCATGAAATAAAGCACGATCTTCTTTATCATCAATTAAATTAGGATCAGTGGCAATTAAACGAATTAATGAAGGACGTGTCAGCTATAGAAAATAAAAGAAGAAAATGAAATTTCCTGTTTAATGAATGATTATTCAAAGAATAAGCTACATACCGGAATAAAATATTCACGCGTTGTAGCAATATCAAATGGTTTAGAACTTCTTTTTGATGATGGGAAAAATGGTAAACCAGAACGAATACTTCGAAGAAAAGCAGAAAAACCTGATGATGGAATTTGTTCGCCTTTTCTTGAAGAATCTTCATTGGTCGTTGATGATACATTAGTTATTGGTGGTGTTTTTGCTGTAATTGGTATACCTGGTGAAACAGGTGTATTCGATACTTTAGCACCATGAAAAAGACCATCACCTGTTGGAGTTATTGATGATGTTGCTTGAATTGATGAAAGACCAGAAGAAAATTTTTCGGTACTTGTAACAACTGGTATTGTTGTTTTGTCATTTGTCTTTGTTTGTTCAACTCGTTTAGCTTCTAAAAGATCATTTGGAGGCACTGCTTCTGAACTTTCAATCTTTAGTGATGGTGCTATTGATTTTTTTAAATCATGTAAATCAACACGATCAACATTTGCTGTATTGTAAAATCCTGGATAATTCTGTGAAGTTGCATCAGTTTTAGTTTGTGTTTCACTAGGTTTTGAATAAGATGATGAAGAAAAAGTCAGTCGAGCTTTATTAATAACTAAACGACGACTTGTCTGCTGAAGAAAATTAATAGTTAGCATTTTCTTTTAATTCATTTCAAAACAAAAATTTAGTAGTTGTTGGTTTTTTTCATGATTGTTAATAGTTAAGCATTTCATTGATCGATCAATAGAATATTTTTTCAGATGGCGTTAGTTACCTTTGCAGAGATTATTATCTAGTGATATCTATTGAAAAATTTCTCGACATCTCAAACGATAACTATAGTTGTCCTTCGATCACTTGGAATATACTCAATTTTAGTTGTTCAGTTGATTAATTATTTGAATAAAAACAATTGATGTAACCTATACAAGGTCATTTGATCGCATGGATGACAAAAAACTTGATTAAGAAAAGACCATCGGTTTTTACTTAAACTAAAATTCACCAACAAATTGCTATGGTCAACACCGGTTTCTAAATCATTTGAATTGAAAGATATGTTCAAGTAGAACAAAATTCAAACAGATCGGCAACGAAAAAATTGTAGTCACATTTCTATAATGCTTTACTTCAACGAGTTAATCACTATTTTTAAGATGGAACGATTTATTTTTCAAAATTCTCCTACGATGAACGTTCAATCAATGGTTTATATCATGTATATTAATTGAAATATTTTAAGAAATTTGTTAACTATGAATCATTTCGAATAGCAAGAAACGGGAAGAGTGATGCGCTTCACATATAGACGTACTTGGCTGCATCTTAAGGAAGAACCTCTATCTGAAACCTCTCTTCTAAACAATACAACTGACCTCAATGAAAATTTCAAGAAATAGAGAAAATGACCTAACTAGCATATGAAAAAAAAATCGAACCAATCATTTTTCATAATTGTGCTGTTATACAGAATTTTGTTCTAAAAACGAGATTTTTGGTACGGAACATTTTCCTCATGCATGGTAGCACCGATAATAAGCAGAGCTGTTCTAAAATGAATAACAAACTTGTGCCTAGAAATTGGTGAAAAACATTTTTTAAATTTGTTTTCCTTTATGTGTAATGACTGTTTGAAACTGAGAATCACAAAACTGTTGTGAGCTCTTTCCAAGATTTTCATATATCTGAACAACGGATGTATATTTTTTTTAAATCTATCCCAACAATTTATAGACAAAAATTTGATCTTTCGAATCAAAAAAAAAAGCCAGTAATATACACTAGGATGTACACCGAGAAAATGTGTATTAAAAATGACACCATCGAATAAAATATACCGTAGGATACCAAAATTGACTTTTTGAGTTGAAATCGATCTCTTCCAGACAGAAAATATTAATTTAATAGGCGAAACTATAAATGACTTGATAAAAAAAAGGTGTACCGCTCGAACCGTCAATTTTGATAACAAATTGACGATATGAGTAAACAGTTATGAAGTACATTACAAAATTCAGAAATCAGCAGCACCCATCATCTAGATATAGATAATTGAACAGTAATTGAGATGAAATCCAAGGCATCTTATAATAAGTGTGACTCGAAACACTGTCGTACACGATTTCACACAACAGAGTTGCAAAGACTGAGACATACAATCTCGATATGGATTTTTCAAACGCTGAATTCCACTTCATGTCCGTGAATTTCCAGTTTCTAGACAGTGGATATTTCTTGAATAAAAAGTGTTCATCTTTATTTTAATTATGTGTTAGTGATAAGATTATTTCACAGAATCAAACAAACGCTTGTTAGCAGGTCAAAAAAGTGAACTGATGAAAAGATGGTTCATCCTCTGGTTCTTAAGTTAATAAAATTTAACAGAAGCATATTGACCATTACGACTATCACTGAGCAACCAAAAGCTTAGCGTATAAATATGTCCTGCTGTCTGGGTAAATGTCTGCCGCAAATAATCATAGTCGCTTTTACATGAATCTTTGTAGCAATACGAACTATTGTGGCAAATTGTATTGCTAATGTCGCCTCTCGATGATGGCCTGTTGCATTGTGTCGTGCATAGTGATTGCCATCCGATAAGTGTACCGTTCTCAAAATTACCGTTGACAAGCATTTCTAAACTCGATGCATTTACATCCTGTAAACTAACGTCATCCAAATACCACTCGTTACCACTATCCTGGCTAGTAAATCCAAATTCAAGGACTCCGATACCACTTGATGTAGCTGCGTAGTTGTAGGATATTAATGTATAACTGCTCGGTCCTCGTGAGTATGAGAGAACAGTACTAGTGGGTGTGTTGCATGAAGTAGCTATCGAAAACAATATTACATCGAATATCTTTTTTCTCATGCTACAACTTACTTGTTAAAGTGCTTGAAGAAGAACTTATTATCGACGTCGATGCAGAAGTTCCTGCAGTGCTCGACGTAGATGCAGAAGTTGCTGCAGTGCTCGACGTAGAAGCTGTACTAGCTGTTGTACTAGCCACTATTTATATACAGAAAAACATAGGTAGATAAAAATTCATGAACTATTGTGATAAAGTGAACTAGATTGAATGGAGGGAGTTTTATTGGAAAACATATTATGATATGTTAAATACTGAAAATTGGTTCTGTACGATCTCTATAAATTTGTATTTCTACTGGCTATTTAAAATAGTGAACCAGTATTATCTTTAGGTTTCGAGACTTTTTTATATGTATACTCACATGTTGTTGCTACAGTTGTACTGGCAGTCGAAACGATTGCTAAAGGATAATATCAAATAAATGAAATTGTTTGAACGTAGAAAAAAAAGATTCTCAATGTAGTCAGCATAAAAGAATGCTTACATGTGGGTGCTGTTGTACCGATTGTTGTAGAAGATTCTGAAAATAGAAACCAATCAACTTTTTTTTATTAAAAAGAATATTGCAATTTTTCCACCAAATTTTTCATTTGGATACAACATGAATTTTTTAAAAATATAATTCTGAACATGAAGAAAAGTAAATCTAATATTTAGATTAGCACGGAAGTCATGAAACTATTAGAATTGATCATTTCTTTCTTTATTAAGTTTAATAAAACTTAATTTTGTTTGTATTCCTATCTTGTCGAAACCATGGAAAGACTTGTCAGATAGTTTCCTATAATTAAGTACATACCAGTGGATTTCATCATAGTTGTACTTGTTGTTGTATCCGTTGATGTCAACCAAAGTGAAATGATTACAGAAAAGACTAAACCACCAACAAGAAAACCTAGGATTAAACCTCGTAGCCATGGTGATATGGATGAACAGCAGCGCAAGAATTTCAATGGTGAACAAGATCTAAAGCTAACAATACTACATCTATCATTTAAGTCTATTGTTGTAGATACTTTTGATTTTTTGAATTCTTTGTATCATTCTTGATATTATGATCAAACCAATGATTGTTGTTCGATCCGGAGTTCTTTGAGCTATCATTGTCAAATAGATATCGATGTTGAGAAACGCTATTTTGTTCGATTGACCAATCACTTATTGGAGGATATTTTGAACTCAAGTTGACCATAATTGTTAGAATGATTGCGACTTAAAAGAGAAATGAAACGAATGTTGAATACTCTCTATTTATTCGTCTCACTTATATTTGCTATTCTATTGAAGGAATGGAGAATAGTATTTATAAAACCTTTATCGATTGTTTTTTCTTATACGTCGAGATAGAAAACATACAAGAATACAATTTCTGTATTCTAATCAATGCTCAATAAAAATGCAAAAAATAGAGTTTTTTTTGGCTCTGTTTGCTATTCATGTTACCAACTCATTTGCATATAATCATAGTTAATAAAATACTTCAATATGTTGGTTATTTATTCACAAAATAGAATTATTATATTCTGAAAGAAAAACAAAAACAGAAATTGTCAACTCGGTCCTTTTGACAGTGAAGTGAGGAATTTACATGTATTCTTTTGCCTGGTCATACTAAGATAAAATATGCAACAGGAAAAATCTCTAGCAGACTATAGTTGTTTTCTAAAGAGAATCGCTCGTCAGAAAACGATTTCTTATTTATTTTTGCATTTCGAACGGATTTTTTTCTGGTTTTTACTGGTGCTGTATTTTTTGTTTGGTTGGTTGCTATTTGCTCGTTATTTTTCTCTCTTGCATTCTGTTTTTCGTAATTTAACATCATTATTATTCGAGTCGTCGATCGAACAGGCAAATAACCCTATTGTACGAGTACCACTGCAACTGAGACTAATATACATCTCACTAAGCTCATATATACTAATATTAGTTATTTTCCAAAGTGATATGGCTACTGGCATACCAATGCATGCATATTCATCATCTTTGTCATCTTAAGTATTAACGAACACTCTTGAACGTTCCCGAATAGTATAAAGCTTGTTGTTATAGCACAATTCATGGCGGGTGTGGATGGATGTGGTGAAATAAGATACCCAAGATTTGTGATTAAATATATTTGTTTTGAACATTGTATTGATGAGTACATGATTTATTTTTCATCGATCACATTGAGATATACTTTACCATCAAATCAAGTTTGTCGAATATAATAATACATTTACACATATATTTAACTGTAAACGTATCTTTTGTGGAATAGTTATTGTGTGAATATAGTTTTTAAAATTACAATCAATTGAATGTCATTTTTACCCTTTCAATCCCGCGTGTCATCTCGTAGATGACATGCATATCGTAATATAGAAATTTTGCGTTCTGTCGTCTTCCTACATAATATATATCATATGTGTGTTCAAAGAATAGCGTGTGTTCTTCACTGTGAAAACTTTTTATTCGCACTGAACTAGTGTAGCTAAAATTCGTTTGCAGCTGATTATCTAAAGGAAAACGCAAGAGAGAGAGAAACCTAGATTTTCTTCAACTTTGTATAGAATGAGAGAAAATGTCGGGACTGAAAGGGTTAATATTCAAACATATTTGTATGAAAACAAGTTTATATTGACGATGTGCTTTTAAAATAAAACTTATTCTAGTCATATATTTCACTCTTCGAACTTATATAATATATATTTAGACGATTGAAGATGTAAAAGTAACATAGTAAATTAGACAGTTGAGATTCAGTGATACTCGTACTTCAACATAAAACTTAATATCAAAGTTTAAAAAAACGTAAAGCATACAGACAGATTTTACGATATTCAATGAAACAAATATTTAAGAAAAAATGAATCAAAAAATTATTGATTAATTCATTTATGAAGAATTCTAATTTACACACATATAGTATTGTCTCGAGAGATAAAATCAAAACCAAAGACGAAACCTTGATATTTCTATATGAAGTCGGCTCTTAGGAAAACGCTTCTGAATCATGGAATGATATGGTGCAACTTATTCAAGATCAATATGTCCATAAATATCGAGGTGAGTGTGGGTGTGGTTGTTAGTGAAGATCAGATAGACTACAACATCCACACCCATCCACACCCTTTTAGAAAAATCTCGAGGTTTGATTGTTCTCTCAAACTAATCATTTGTTACCAAATCTTCATTGTTATAACAGATGAATAAACTTTATTTTGTTTGAAATATCACTGTCGAAGAGAAATATTAACAAACGAACTTTGGACTTCACAAAAAGCAACATATTCGGCGAAGAGAGAAGTTTGTCAGCCATGACTAGAGCCCGTCGGATCCAACAATTTCGGACTCGAATCTGATGAATAATTATCTTTTTGGATCCGTACCTAATTTATCGAAAATTTCCTTATCCGAATCCGATCAAAAGAGATTTTTTGAACTTAAATCCGGTCGAGTTCGGACAGTCTTGAAGAGTTCCATCTCTGACACTTTGTTTTCGATCGGATTGATTTTGCGTGATTTATTCCAATGAAAAAATTCAGACGATTATAATCAGGGTTGCCAGATCAAAAATTTAAAAATCAGAAATTCCGACTATCAAAATCAGAAAATATTCAGAATTTTTTTTCGAAAATCAGAAAATAATCAGAAAGGCTAATATGTTGAAATTGGCACTTATTATTTTATCAAACTATTACAAAATGCTTTAGTTGTAATTTGTTCATCTACTCTTCATTTATTTTCGAAGATATTTAACATAAAAAAACAATAATAATAAGAATATGTAGTTCACCGAATATCACACAAACTAGCAAAAGATATCTAGTATCAGACTTTTTACTAAACTCAAAACTTTTTTCACATAAAATGAGCAAAAACAAACCGAGAAATACACTATATACATCAAGAGATATTTAAAAAAACGACTCATTCAATATGAGTTCCATACTATTGATATTTTTCATTTTTCGAATTTGCTGCAATAAATGTTTATCAGTTGAAATATGTTTTTAGAACTGTTCACAAGAATAATTAGCATTCATTCTTATCTTAAGTTCAGCACTAACTAGTTTTATGTCCATGCAATTACGATAATCAGACCATACATGTTTCATATGGCTAACGATTATGATCGTAATCAATTTGAGAAAAGTCTTCATTCAGAAATAGAATTTGGACAAATATCGCAGCGAAACAGTGAAACCAGAAAAATCGAAAAAAACCTGAAAAATCAGAAGGTCAGAATAAAATTAGAAAAAGTTTTGAAATTCAGAAGCTTTCCTGCCATTTCAGAAGATCTGGCAACCCTGATTATAATTGATAATATTGTCGAAATTCAACAAAACGAATAAAAACAGAAATTTGTCTCGATAATCAGTATAATACTCAAATGGATAATTGACATATTTCATGAGTTAAGGAATTATTGTATAGAATGAAATAGAATTTAAAATTGAAAGTTAAATAAAATGAAACATTCATTTATAGAACATGTCTGACTGTTAACGAAAGAAAAGAATAGAAGAATTAAAATTAAGGTTACATTGATACTTTGAATATTCTAATTCAACAAAGTCGAATAATAATTAACAAGATGAAGTTTTTCTAGTAATTGATAAAATGTCGTTGAATTAAGACGTATTCAATCGAATATTAATGATTAAAGAATAGAAAGATAATTTTATGAACGATTTTATTTAAAATTAAATACCAAATAGATTAAACTTAGATTATTGTCATTTCCATTCCAAATAAAATTTATCAAGTCGACGATACAATTGATAAGTCTCCAGTAAATTTTCTGAATCGATCATTGTCTTTAATTTTTCAACTTTATCATTTGTTGCTTCAACAGTAATAATGCAAAGTGTCATAGAATGACGAATATTATTCTCTTTAATTCTTCGTAAAGTAGATTGAATAATTAATTTCAAACCGACATTGCTGACGCGTTGCAACGCAATAAATTGTACCCGAGGAAAAAGATCAATAATCAAATAAACATTTTCGACTCCAGATATATTTCGAAGAGATAATTTTGTTATCTTGTTATTCTTTAAGAAGAGATTAAATATTTGGCTATTGTCATCCGATATAAATAATTCTACAGTTGATGGTAATGACGTTATACTTATCATATCAAGATCTGGCAGTACACTAAAAATTTTAATGAATATATTAACGGACATTTGACAACAATCAATAACTAAACGAGTAACATCTACCAATTTAAATAAAGAATTAATTTTGTCAATAAATATTTGATTTCCTGGTGTATACTGACTTTTTGTGATATTAACATTAACACCTGGAGAAGTATAATTGAAGGAATTGGTAAGATTTTTGAACTCTTGAAAATTGTAGCATGATTCTCTGAAAAAAACGATAAAAATATTTTTTTAAGATAAAGAACTACTGTCAAAATGTACCTGGAAGGACGAATTAAATAAAACATTTTATTATTATCAATTATAATGATGAAAATCCAATTATTATTAAGCCAAAATGGTGCGATGAAACAATTGATTAATGCATGACAAGGAGTTATTTGAAAATCATCATCAATACCGTCAACATAACAAAGAAGGGTGTGGGTGGATATGGATGTGGGTGTGGGTATGAGGTCTGGGTGTGGGTGTGGGTGTGGGTGTGGGTGTGTGTGTGGGGTGTTGGTGTGTGTGGAGTGTAGGTGTGGGTGTGGGTGTGGGTGGGTGTGGGCGTGGGGTGTGAGTGTGAGTGTAGGTGTGAGTATGGATGTGATTGTGGGATATTGGTAGACGAAGAAATGTCTACACTCACACCCACCCACCCATCCACACACTCACGCCCACACCCACACCCTTTTCAGCGAAAAGTGTCTTACATGTAATTTCTCTCATCAAAGACCTCTAGTGTTTCAAGGAAGTGAAATCTAAACATAGCTTAGACACTAATGTGAAGAGGGCATGTCAGGGTGTGAACCTAGCTAAAAAAATCGCTAATGTGTTCTTAATTTCGTCGACTAAAACTGGCCTGAAAAGTGCTTGTGTAGTCCATTTTCACATATTGACATGTGCCCCCGACTATCATCTATTGAACGCTGAAAATCTCAGATCGCTATGATCTTCCACCCAAAAGTTATAAGTCTTTCTTCCACCTGCCTTCTTTAAAAATTCCGAAAGTAGCTAAGGATTATGGACGTCTTTAACCTTTTATTCCTCCCCTCGTCAACAATGGTTTCCGAAGAGTAAGTGATAAAACAACTATACAAATAAAGTGCTAGTTCCTACAATATGCCAATAGTATGATGATATTCACTGAAAGTTCTGTCCTTTGTGCAGAAGAATTTGGTTACTTGAGTGAGGATGGGGAAGGAGGAAGTTTGAGCAGTTTGAAAAATCCTAGTTTTGTTCTCCTTCATCGCAGTGTTGGGTTGAGAAAAGCGAGATCTATCCTATTCTATCTTATTCGTATGAAAAGAGTAGAGTTTAATACATGAAAACTATTCTAAAACAACGCCGCATATTTTTGGCACATGTTTGTTAAAAGTCACTTGCCTTTCATTAAACCGGAAGAAAACCATTAAGAACATTCTGTCCAAGATGAAGATTATTTCAACTTCTCATGTAATAAGGTTCGCGAAAAATATATTCATTATGCTCGCCATTCTCCTCCATTTTACCAATGGTGGGTCCGGTCTGTCTTGTATCTTATCGTCTCTTATTCCTCATGCTTTGTCAAAAATTTAGCAGTGCAATTGTTTAACAAGTAGACATGCATACTGATATAAAACATGCAACACACTTCTGACGTGCCTATCGTATGTAGAAAGAGAACATTTTGCTTTAAAAAAATCATCTTTTTAGAGTTTTTTAATTTATGGGTTTTATAACGTTCATATTTCAATCCCGAAGCAATGAAACCAAATACTCTTTCCACTAATCAATAATTCATGGAGTCTAGTACAAAAAATGTTTCTAAATTTTTCAAAGGCAATGCTTCTCTATTTTTTTTGCAATTGATCTACCAATGACAGTCCCGATTGCCAATGCAGAACAAAGCCTTAAACTATTGCATGGTTATGGAGTAAAAAGAAAATATTTATATGGTGTGGTGTAGAATTATGCTAACCATTACGAGACATAGTATTGTGGGCTAGGGATGCAATGGTGACGAACATTCACCGGTTCACCGTCACCGTTTCACCGATCAAAACCGATAACCGTAGGTACGGTTACTGGTTGCACTACGGTAACCGATCGAACTACGATAACCGTAGGTACAGTTATCGGTTCAAACCGGTTGTCAAGAAAAACAGCATTTTTTAAGAAAATACCGATAATTTGTAAAGGTTGACGAAGGTAAATCAGTGTCGAGGAATCCGAATCTGAAGTCGACTTTTGAAAATTTTGAGTTTTAGTTCTTCACATAGAATATTTTTCAAGGATAAAGTTTTCTAGAAAAAAAGACTACTTTCAAGGAGCGGTTTAGTCTAGGGAAGAGAAAATTGAAAAGCTCAAGGATTTGATTTCAGATTCGAATTCTTCGACCTCGATTTACCTTCGCCAACCTTTATAAAATATCATTATTTTTCTAAAAACCCCTCTCCTTTGTCGAAAAAATTTAATGCGAAATTTTGAAAAACTGAGTTTAGATTGGGATTCTCCGACCCCGATTTACCTTCGTCAACCTTTATAAGATATCATTATTTTTCTAAAAAACCCTTTCCTTTGTCCAAAAAATTCGTTTCGAAATTTTGAAAAACTGACTTCAGATTCGGATTCCTCGCCCCCGATTTACTTTCATCAACCTTTACAAATTATCGGTATTTTCTTAAAAAATGCTGCTTTTCTCGACAACCGGTTTGAACCGATAACCGTACCTACGGCTATCGTAGTGGGACCGGTAACCGTACCTACGGTTACCGTAGGAGAACCGGTAACCTTACCTACGGTTATCGTCACCGTTGCATCCCTAGGGGGCACATAAAGAAAAACTTAAACTATTATTATCTCTAGATAGAAACAAAACACAGAAATTTGTCGTTATCAAAATAGTCAAAATTGTCGATAGACCACGAGTTTTATCAGGAGATAGACCAGTTTAGAAAGATTAAAAACAGATGCTAGTTTTGACAAGAATTTGTACAAATAATCGAGTAACAACAAGAGTACTAGGATAAGTCAGATTTTTATCCTTAAAAAATTGCTTAAAAATCTGCCGTACTCGATAATTTGGAAGTTTCTGACCGAGATCTTCACACATTTCAAAGCTGCATAGATTATTCCCTTTTCAGATAAAATTTGTGCTTTATTGACATCTCTCTCTACCTCTGTACCATAAGCATTTATCGCAAAGCAATTTCAAATAAACATACATTCAATACTAGCATACGTGTACTGATCAGGGGACGAAGGCTTCCCAAATCGCAAAAAATGATAACTATGTTGTTGGTCGACAAATTATTGTCGAGAGGACACTTTGTCGACACTACACTTCAGAAATAAACTTAGACAGGTATCTGTTTTTCGTCGACAGTATGTTCTTGGGTACGGAGGGTACTTCAAACGCGAGGGTAAGGGCAAAGATCACTGAGGGCATTTCGAACGTGAGAGTGAGAGCAAAATGCACTCACCTATTCATTATTAACAGTCTTGTGACAGAACCAAAGGGTTCGCAACAGCCTAGAGCGTGTCGCGAACCTTTCTGCAAAGTGATTTTCCTCGAAAAACATGCAATTCTATTCAACGGTAGTCTGACATTCTTTTATCTTTACCAAACAAGGAAAGTTAATTAAGTGACACCTTTTGAACTTGTGTTCCAATGTTAGAAAAATGAGCAGAAGAAAATAATTCATTTTTGACGAAAGTTTTATCGACGAAATGCTTGTCGACGAAGAACATAGGATTCGCGAAAAATTCTCCTTTTTTTACTAGCGAAGCTAAAAATTATTTCTTACGTTCTGGTCGAACCTTCATGACGACCTCCCACGATATTTGTCCGCACGAAGTAGCCTTGAATACTGCTGTTGTATCATGCGAATATGTGTCAGATGTCGCTGAGAATGGAAGCTTATAAGGATAAATGAGTTTAATACTAAAATGAAGTCAAACTTCTGGGGCTTTTAACTGTAGCCAGATTTTATCGTTTTGAAACTATAGTACGACACCGGAAATCTATAGCATCAAGTGTGGTAAAAACTAGCAGTGAGCTTTATGCTGTATGTAGTTTTTATATAGTAAAAGTCGCTGAATTAACTGCAAGTCTGAAAGAAAAATGTTTCCGTTTTCTCCAGAAACAGTGACAGATCTAGAAAGCTACAGTACGATATGGCCATGTAACCGTCGAACTTTTTCCATCTGTCAAGGAGCATTGTAAATTGAAATTTCATCGGATTACTGTGGAATTTTTTTTCTAGTTTTATTGCATCACTAGTTTCTACGGTAAAATTGTCAGAGCAATTTAGTGAAATCTCGATCTGTAGCGACATAACAGATGGAAACCCTTATGTTGCCAGATCAAGGACGAATTTTACCTTGACAGGCTGAGTCCTCTTTTCATCCTCTTTTTTCACTATTGATCCCTCAAATATGATGCTGCAAATCCTCTCCTCTTCTCTTTTTTCCGAAATTGCCGTTCACAAGCCAGAATATAATTGACGATGATGAATATTGACATAATGAAAGACAATGTTTAATTAAGAGAGGGTCTATGAGTGAACCGCCAACCAGGGCATTTGAAAATTTTTAAAATTGCGATATTTTTACATAAAATGAAAGATCATGTTTCAAAACCTATAAATCCAAAATTTCAGGTCATTCTCGCTTTGCTTTTAAAAGTTATAGAACTAACATTAGTAATGTGTTTCGATGGTTTAGGTCAAAACATCGAAATTTTCATTTTCGCGGTATTTTCTCGATTTCTTCTCAACGCTTTGACTTATCTTTTATTCTAATATCTCAAAAGATAAAAGAATCTTTCGCTTTATCGAACTGTATAGAAGAATACTCTCTCCATGTCTTCTCAGTTCTACTGAGTCTCAATATATTGGAAGACAGACTACTGAAAAATCGAGTCGGGCGCCAGTATTTTGACCAAAAAGTATCGAGAATGTTTCGCGCTATTTTTTTCCACTCCAGATTCTGAAAGAGCATCGAAAACTGCATCGAATGCTATATATTTCATTTTGATAACACGTTGATTCGATATTTAATTTTTCAACGCAATCCTATGGCCCATATAGGGCAATAGACTTTTTTCCATTTTTTGACCAATATTTAACAAGTTCCAATCAGAAAAAATACGATTTAAGTTAAAATTAATAACACATTTGAAATCAACATAAAAAACTGAGTCGATCTATATGTATCTTAAAATTTTTCTTGAGTATTTTTTCCAGAAAAATTCATCTGGGATACCCGTCATGGCTCAGTGAAAAATTGAATTTTATTACACAATCGACCTGTTTACGTAACGATTTAGCCGTCTCGATGAAATTAAACGAAAAAAGGGTGTGGGTCTGGGTGTGGATGTGAGTTGTCAGTGCCGATGCGGATTATAAGAGACCACCATTCACATCACACACACACACCCACACTCACACTCCCACTCACTCCATTGTTGTTAATACAGTTCAGCAGCTTGTTACATTACCAAGGAGGTCTTGGAGAAAAATCTGATGCCTTTTGTGCTTGATTAGTAAGGTCTGCAATGAAGAGAGGTGGGGAATGACCGTAAAACATCGGCTTGGACTTATATTCACTATACTCACGGAAAATATGTGTAAGTTACATAGGCTTGTATTTTACGAAATTGATACAAAAATATGGACATTTCGATATCTGTACAAGTTTTTTCAGTGTCAAATTAAACGAGAATGTACTTGAATAATAAAGTAAAGGTAAACTATAAGAACAATTTAAGTCACTTAAATCCACGACGAATAACATAATCAACTTCCGTTTGATTGAAACAGTCACACGTTGTCTTGTTTTTTCATTTCAGATTTTGACTAATCACTTCTTTCCATTGTCAACAATTTCACTCATTCTAGTGATATGTCACAGAATAGTGAAAATCTTTCAGGTATAAATGTCTTAAGAGTTTTACAACAAAACATCTGTTCAGTGTTTCAGATTTTTTCTATTAATTTCAATAACCATCATTACCAGTGTATGTATGTTTCTATCCTATCATTCAAATAACTTTGTTGTAATTTATTGGTAAATAATTCAACTGATTACATCGATACAAAGTATGCGTGTAGGTGTATACGTGAATATAAGGGAAGAGGTTAACAGTACCCACATCCATACCCAAGTGAGTTATCATCACAAAATTTGATTATTGAATATTTATCCAAAGTACCAATCTAATAAAGGCTTAAATCATTTAGACATTTACTGAGATGATTTTTCTAAATAAATATAGGATAAAAATATTCTTTCAAAATTAGTAAGATGACCATAACATTGAACTATATTTGTGTGTTTCGAAGTATCTTTTTCTCAGATAATAGTTCTACTCTTTCTTTACAGAATGATATATGTCGATCAATTCCATATTACCAGATTTGTCATAGATATGATTAATTGACTGAGAGAGTTCGAAAATGTTTCAACCATACTTTATAAAAGTAAAATTAATATCAATAATTCATTAATGAATATCTCTATAATCATCAATGAAATCATTATTTACAATTTTTTATCTACGGTATCATTTATTTTAACATATCTTGCTGCTATTTATCAACAATAGACAACACGCATACAAAATACGTACGCAAGCAAATCGTTTTGCAAAAAAATCGTACTCAAAAAAAAAAAAAAAAACAGAAATCAAAACAAAAATGACCGTAACTGTCAATGAAAGAAAATTGAAACAATACACTATACAAAGCACAGGTAAACTCTAAATATCAATGTTACCAAAAGCAAAAAAACTCAGATCTTAAGTAAAATAAATATACAACATTAATAAACACACAAAAGTTTGATTGATCAATGTAAAAACGAGCTGAAATTTAAAAAAAAGAAGACCAACATAAGAAAATATCTTCTCTTGGTTTATATTCGTCGAAGATGACTTCGAATAAGATCATCAACCATTGATGGTGTTTCACCAGGTGATAAATTAGTAAATACATTACGAATTGATTTATTCATATACGGATTTAATGATGATGCACGTAGAAATGTACTTGTTTTCATAGCATGCATTGCTGTATTTGGTGTTGGTGAAACAAGTCCATCGAATGTTGGTGATGGCAGTGGAGTTGTTGTGACTATAGTACGTAATCTTTGTTTATCTTCATTATTTTGTTGTAATTGATCCTGACCATTTGATGAAGTAAGTGATGATGAAAACGTTTTCAATGTATTCAATGATAATTTCATTAAACGTTCTATGACTTGATGAAGAAGGGCACTTGTTTGTAATTGAGCACCATGTGTTGGTGAAGACGGTGGAGTTGTTGGTTCATCATAATCATCATCGTCAGGATCAGGAATAATCGTAGTCGTCGATTTGGGAAGACGATTTGGTAATGGACATGTTAAAAAAGCTTTTGCAAATTCAGAAAATGAATTTGGAGAATCAAGTGTACGTGCAGTTATTCCTTGTTTTGTTAATAATTCAACAAGATTCATTCGACGTGTTGATGAACTAAAATTTGTTTATGATATACAAAATTAAAGAAAAGATATTCTTACTGAAGATGTATTGGTGTTTCAGGTGAATGTTTTTCAAGACTAATTGATAATCGCTCTAAATAAATAGAGTATTTAAAAAAAATTGTTAGTGCAATCCTTGCAAGATTAAAATGCGAAAAAACTATACAGTTGATGTTGCTTATCAGAGAAATTGTTTTATTCCATCTCGTTTTACTTTATTCTTCAGAAATACAATAAAAAAGTAGCTAATATATTGTAACGAGTTGTTATTAATATGCCGCTAGTTAGTTTATATCAATTATACCCGTCACAATCTGTAGCGGGTGCAAATTCCTACCCTATATGTTTTAACAACAGACTTTCACCTGATATCGGGCTGTCCTCAAATATTTCATTCCATGAGACTTCACGCTCTTCAAATATTAAAAATAGTTTCGAAAACACATCTATCGTTGTAATTAATACTACAAAATTTAACTTCATTTCAATTTTTATTTCAAAAAATTTTATCATAACCCAGCCTATACTTCGACAAGAAAGACATTTGTCCCATGCAATAGAACTGTTCCATCCTACTCGCACTCCTTTCAGATCATGTTTTATAAAATAATCGAGATAAGGATTTTTTGTGTAACCTTCTAATTCATTTTGTGGTGTTATTAAGTCTTCTTCATTTTCTTCATTAATTTCGTGTAAAATTTCAGCACGTGTATAAACACCGGGTATAGATTCAAGGCATGAACATAAACTTGGTTCAGCTAATTCTTGCCATCGTTTTAACATAGTTGATCCTAAAAAAAAACATTGTTGTCATCAAAATCAAAAAAAAAGAAATTCTTTACCTTCTAATCGTTTAACAAGTCTTAATCTAGATGAAATTCCTCTTGATAATCTTCGATCACTTGTTGATGATATTGATCTAAATAGAAATCTCAATAGAAACTCGAAATCTTATACAAATTATATATTTACTTGGATTCATCTATTGGAATAGGTGAAGATTGCTGACAAAAACGACATGATGAATTACTAGAAGTTATAAAATATTGATAAGTATGAATAAATTTTCATAGAAATTTTACCTGCTTAAACTTTCAGTATCACTAAATGCTGAATCACTTATCGATGATTCACAATCCGTATCACATTGAGAGCATTTAGCTCGACGACGAGAATGTTTTTTATTTGTATTTATTGTTGAATGACAAAGTTGATTTGGATCTTCACGTACTTCTTCAAGTTCTGATTTAAGTGAATTTTCAAAGCTCATAAAATTTGCATATTCTATTGGTGATAAGAACAATGTATGATGTTGGTTAGAATTTATATCCAACATAGGTGATGATGCAGAACTTGGAAGAATATCTTTTTGTAAAGAATTTATTTCTTGTTGCGATTTATGAAGCTTGGATAAACATTCGCTATAATGTTTTTCTAGATCTTCAATCTAAACAGATAAAAAAAACTTGTTGATTATGATTTCAAAAAAAAGAGAATAAAATCTTTGATCAATAAGTTAAATAATTATAAAATTAGTTAATTACTTAAATGATCAGTTAGTGATGAATCATGTTTATAAAGAGATATAAAAGATCATTAAATAATATCTTACGAACTGTCAGTTCATTGAATGAGTAAGTATAGAAATTGAAATATGTTATAGTTTAATTGAATTCTTTTCTTTGTGTTTCTTATACCATGTAATGCAGATGTTTTGTACGACATACAGATTCATATTCTTTACTTCGGTTTCAACTTAGAGTCTACGAGTAAAAAATGATGCACGTAGTATAAGTTGCTCAATATGAAAGTGATGTAACACAACAAGAGGCTGTGAAGAAATACGATGAAATAAATGGACACAAACGACCGTCTCAAAAAAAAATTAATCAAAATATGAGGATAGAAGAATATATCTGTCTAGACGAAACGTCAAACTAACATAAATTTCTTGTGTTCAATTGCCTACACTTCTCATACACACTGATTAAGCACACAAGCAGGTGTATGTCATAAGGTAGTCAGTATTTTATCGAACGATTGATCCGAAACAAATAGTCGTTAGTGATTTTTCCAGGGTTATTCCACGGTTATTAATATTGATATTTGAACTCAGTACCTTGAAATATGTGTCCAACAACGCAACTACTCATCCATGGCGACCTCGAATATTAGGTTGATAAGGTTACATTTGATAATGTTAATGGAGCGGAAGCATGAATTGGAAAGGAAAGGTCAAAACATCATGGAAATTATACAGAAAATACGATAACAGTTTAACAAAAATGTAAACAAAGTCCCACACTGCCAATAGCAAAAAAAAGTAATAATGTATAAAACTGCAGCACAACATAATGATCATTCGAATGAAATGAAAATCCTTTCATAGTCTCGCAAAACAAAAAAGTTTAAAAAATTTACTTTTGTTTCGTATTCATGACGAGTTTTTCCAGTTACTGACAAAAGAATTTTTAATTCATCATTTTCTTTCTTTAATTCTTTCAATCGACGATGAATTTCACGCATTTCATAGGATAGACGCATAAGTTCATCGTGTTGTTTAAGATTTTCTTCATTTTTTTTACAAATTTCTTCTTGTAAATTTTCGATTTCGGAATTTGCATTTGCTAAATAATATAAACCAAAAATATTCTTCTTTTTTTCTTAATAATTCTAAATTAATTTACCTAAAGCATGAGCAAAATGATCGACAATGGCTTGTTCTTGATGTTCGATATTTTCAGATTCAAGTTTCAATTGTACACTCTGTTTAAAAGTAAAATAAAATAAAATAAAACCAACCAATCAACAATGTTTTATCATTTACTTCAGCACGTAATTCTCGATTTTCATATTCAAGATTACGAATTTTGTGTTCGTAATGTTGATAATCTACTTGTCTAAATTAAATAAAATTGACTAGATTGTAAATTATTTAAATGTTTGTTTTTTTTTAATACTTTGATTCGTTTGGTGATATATCAAGATCCATATCATAATAAAATCGAATAAGACGTTCTTTTAGAAGTAAATCATGTTTAAGTTGTTTAACAATTTCTGTTGTTTGTTCAATATCTTGTTCAAGTATTGAAACTTGATTACGTAATGAATCATTACTTTCCAGTAATGTATAACCTAAGCTAACAGCGGTTTGTAAATCATTCTCGCGATCTTCAAGCATGCGAGTTACTGCATTTATATCATGATATGTTTTTGTCATTTGGCTTATTCGATCACTAGATAGAACTAAAGGATCAAAAGAAAAAATTGATTGTAGGTTTTTTCTATAAACTATTTAATTTATAAACTAAAACTAAACATACAAAAACATATAGACTAAGCATAAAATTACCATAAATATGTTTTCGATGCAAAAACCAAATAACTATAAGCAGGTTTTTTAAATTTTTATTCCAAGCGAAAAGTTCAAGCAAAAAGAAATACAGTTCATGCTCTTTTTTTTTCTATTTCTTACCGTAATAATCTAAAAGAGCACGAATTTGTGTATTTGTTAAAGATTCAAATTTAGAACCGTCAATGCGTGGTGTTTGAATAAAATCTTCGTTTGAACAAGCAAAATCAGTATCAGCACGTAAACGATAACGAGGAATTAAGTCTTGGACAAGACTAACGACTTGAACTTCAGATAAATTTAATTGTGTATGAATGTCTAAATAGAATTAATGAAAGAAAAAAAAAATTCTAAATAATGAATTTATTTCAATTATAATCATTCTAGTAAATCATATTTACCAATCATCATCAAAAATAATCAATCAATCTCTCGTTATTTTCAATTTATATCAAAAAAGAAAATAGACGAAAGATTATGTTTATGATTACAATAGCTTATTCTCATCCATTGTATGTATGAACTGTTTAGAAGAAAAAGAAAAGAATGGTACTCAAATAGAATTGAACAAAGACAAAAGTCAAGTGTATGTAACGATTTAAAAAATAAAAAACGCTTATATCGACATCATTATTATTGTATGACTATATTAAAATATTTAAATCAACTAATAATAAATCTGTGAGAAGAAAAAGAAAGAAACGCGGGTAGTCAACATTAGATCGAAGAGCACTTTCTTTGTTTTCTTTTTTTGATCGATGAATATGATGAAAAGGAGAATATGCGAATATAATATCCTTGTACTGTGATATTATATACAATAGATATTGACAGTATATATATATATATATATGCATACTTCTATTACGCAAAATAAAACAAAACGAATCGACTTTGGTTTCACTATAAGAAAGATTAAGCTTACATTAATTAGGAAAATTCTTTTCTTTTCTTATCCTTGACCGACATAGTTTAATTTGGATAATTATGAACCAAAAAGAAAAAGAAAAAGTAATATGATTCTTACCCGTTAGGACTTCACAATCGACGGTCGAAGGACCTTTGATAGGTGTTGTCGCATGGAACATAAAAACGGAAGGTAAACAAGACAAAGACACGCACACCACCGAAATACAAAAGGCAAATGAACGATTATAAATATGATGGTTAAGTAGATGCAAAATGGAAAGAAAACAATGTAATACATCGATGTTTTCGCATCTAGAATACATAGAGACAGAGAACACTTAAATCAATTTGATATACAAACAAAAATACCCCCCAAAAAAGCAGGCGTCAGTATGATATCGATAGTCGCAATATCAATGACATTCTCTTGCCTGTTCTATCTAATCAACACGAGAGCTAATTTTATGCATCTTATGTAGGACAATAGCTGTATGTTTTGGTCGATTGTTTCCATTTGTTAATGTGCAATCATCATTCTATTTACATAAGTGACATTTTCATAGAATAAAAGAAAAACAAAGGAAAAAAAAGATATACTTCAGTTCAACTATGCCTAATGGCATTTAAATCGAATCTCGAAAAAAAGAAGAAGAAGAAGAAGCATGTTGACCTTCAAAACAACAGAAAATATTTCATACGTGAAAGTCTGTTTCTAGACGATGTCAGCAGGAATCGATTTTATCAACGTCAATCATACTGTGAGAATATAAAAGTAGTCCTGAATGCAAAAAAAAAGTGTTTCTCGTTAACATTATTCATTAAGAGAACTACGATAGTGTCTCGGAATAGATGTATTCCATAAAATAATAAAAATTTCATTTAGGAAAACATGAGCAAAAAAGAAATTATAGCGTTTCAATATAGATATCTCAAGGCCATTGACAACTGTTCCAACTTAAGAAAAAAAAGAAAACGTTGACATCAATAAGGACAAATAAACAATGATTGAGAAAATCGCTTGTTCGTTCGTTTCAGAAAAAGGAACATCATGGAAAACCAATCAAATTTCAGCGCTAACTGATGTATTCAATATTGATATCTCGTATAGACTAGCGACAGTTCACTAAGGATAGATTTGCTGTGCGTTCTTATATACATTTAGTTTTCGCATAACAACCATGATAACATCATTAAAATCAAATCCAAAAGTTTTACAATTAATTCAAGAATATGCACAACGTTTACGTCCTAATACACTAACAGATTATGATCCAATATTGTCTGCTATAAGTGATGCTCAAGTTGTAATGATTGGTGAAGCATCTCATGGTATATTTAAAAAAATAGACAAAAAAAGAAAACAATAATTGTTATGTTTTGAAATTTTTAGGTTCACATGAATTTTATTTTCATCGAGCCGAAATAACAAAACGATTGATTCAAGAAAAAGTATAATCGATTTTCTTCAATGTAAATTTATATATAATTAATTCAAATTAGAAAGGGTTTTACAATCGTTGCTTGTGAAGCTGATTGGCCACCAGCTTATCGAGTAAATCGATGGGTTAAAGGAATATCTTTATCAACAATTGAAGATGCAGATGATGCTTTAAAAGATTTTACACGATTTCCATCGTGGATGTGGTTTGTTATTATCTTTTTCATTTATTTTTAATTCAATTGAAAGTATTATCCATATCTAGGCGAAATAACGTTGTAGTAGATTTTATAACATGGCTTCGAAAATACAATGATCAATTAGATGAGCAAAAGAAAAAAGCAGGCTTTTTCGGCATTGACTTGTATAGTTTACAATCATCACGTGAGGAAGTTATAAAATACTTAGAAGCCAATGCACCTGGTTTGTTGAATTTGTTTTTTTGACTGTATTTTTATGTGTATTATTTCAAATAAAAAGATCTAGTAAAAATAGTTCGTAAAAATTATGGATGCTTTAAAAAATATACTGATGAACATGAATATGGTATTTGTGCAGCAACAAATCTTAGTTCAAGTTGTGAAAAAGAAGCTATTAAAGTATTAACAAAAATGTTAGAACGACATGCTAAACTCATAGCCGAAAATAAAACAGATAATATGGAAATTGACGAAAGTTTTTATGCTATGGAAAATGCAAAAATAGTTCGTCAAGCTGAAAAATATTATCGACATATGTTTGAAGGCGGTCAAATCACATGGAATATTCGTGATACACATATGTGTGATTGTTTACAAGATTTACTTAACCATAATGGGCCCGGAACGAAGGCTGTTATTTGGGTAATTACAGAACTTTTTTTTCTTGGATTTAATTGAAAAGAACATACTATTAGAAAATAAACAAAGTCACAAATTACGATGTTCTTCTAGGCACATAATTCTCATGTTGGTGATGCTCGTGAAACAGAATCGAATCGAGCACGTAAAGTCAACATTGGTCAATTAGTTCGCGAACGTTTCGGTATAGAAAATACTTATAATATTGGATTTACAACATATACTGGAACTGTCACAGCAGCTGATAATTGGGATATGGATCCAGATTTTAAACATGTACGACCATCATTAAATGAAAGTATTGAATTTATTTTACATGATGCTCTTATAAAAAATTCAACAATATTTTGTGACGGTCAATTTTTTCTTCTCTTTCGTTCGAATAATCCATCTGTGAAATATTCAAAAGAATTGATTAGTGAATTACAAAAGAAACGATTAGAACGTGCTATCGGTGTTATTTATCGTCCAAATACTGAACGACAATCGCATTATTTTAATGCAAGTCTTTCAACACAATTCGATTGTGTTATTCATGTAGAAATGACACATGCTTTAAGACCATTAGAAATTCATCCTGTATGGACACAAGCAGAAAAAGAACATGTACCAGATACATTTCCTATGAATGTTTAAATGAAATTTATCTGTTGACTTTTTTGTAAAGCTAGTCTTTCTTTATCTATGCATAATGTTACTCACGCAATCTTAGATATTTTTGTTTTTTTTTGACTGTATTATTTTTTAATACACAAGCATACTTGGATATTAAGTGAATTATATTTATCTTTTATTCGTAGCTTTATAAAACATGATTACAGTAATGGGAACTGAAGTATTATATCTAGGATAGTGTTTTAAAAGTCACCTAATAAAAAAAAAGAATTTAAATATCTTCATCGTTTTAAATCAAATCAGTTTATTCTTTTTTTTTGTTGATAGTCATAAACCATTTATTTCAATTAAAATTGTGAAGACTTACTCGAAATAGATGAGCAGATGCTAGATTTTGAAATTTGTCATATGTGCTAGTCGAAGTGTGAGCTTCATCTGAATTAATTCTATTGCAGGAAGTAGCGAATATCCTCTCGTGCGGGTTTTCGGATTTTCCGAACTTTTCATTTTATCCTTTTTAAGCCTATAGAAATAAATTCAGCAGAACTTTTATTATTTGGTTAACATACAACAACGAGACGAATCCTTTGCAAGTTGTTTTCATTCAGTAGTTGTCTACTAATAATTAAAATGTGAAGTCCCAAAAGTTTCTAATCATTTGCGACCTGCTTCATACATATTCGTATGAACCAGAAAAAAGGTAAATTTTTCTTAAAATTGCGTGGCCATGACCGGAATTAGGTCACGGAAATTCACAATCGTTAAAAATACTACATCTTCTGCATTTTTATTAATCGGTAAAATTTTCCATAACCAGAACGACCTTGTTTTTTTTGCATGGATTCACTACCTGCAACTACTTTTATATGCAATATGTGACGTACATAAATAACACATAACTCGATTATACTTGATATTTTGAACGAAAACAATGCCAACATAATGTCAAACTTTAGATGTATGTCCTTTGTCCTTTTATTCCCAGAGGTTAACAGTAATATCTTTGTTGAAAATTAATTATTATATTAGATTTTTCTTTAACGACATCTTCCAGCTTGCAGTTAAATTGTCCATTTTTCGCTTGATTAGATAAATTTTGTTATTTAATCTTAAACTGACTTTGTTTTTTTTTCATTTCGCTTCAACACTCTCTTGTTGCGTTTACTCATAGATTTTCGTCAACAATGCATATAGTTTACAGAAAAAGAGATCCTTGCAAACTAAAATCAACTTTCGAGACTACAAAAATGATTTGTAGAACGCTTGTACTTTTCGAACTGCTAATTTATATCAAAGTGTCAGTGTGAAAACCGATTCAATTATAATTGAGCAATTTATTGTACTTGAGAACAGGTCACACAGTTTGAAAAGCATCTACAGATCATGATAAACCATATGACAAAGTAATTGAATACATGGAAAGGAAAATGACTCATTAAAAATATAAACATGTATTATAGTGATGTGGAAAAGCATTCATATACATATCCACAATTATGACATTTGGTACTAACACTGCGTTTCATTCTAGCGTCATGAGCAGCCAACAAACGTATATTTAGCGAAATTGATTGAATTTTTGAAGCAATAAGACATGAAGTGAGTCCAGAATGAGTTACTTTTTTCATGAACTTTTAGATGATCTCTTTTTTTTGTAGCTGTTCACGGAAGAAACTAAAGAATAGTTTTTTATATCAAATAAAAATTTGGAAACCGTACTATGATCGTGAATGTTTTTGTCAGATGTCGATTAGTTTTGGTCGTAACAAGTCGTACCAGTTCATGATACTAAAGTTAGGGACGTTTGTACAACAACTTACGAATCGCATGATGCAAGCATGTAAGAATTTAAGAATTACAATACCTAGCAGTTTTTTATTGAATAGTCTCGATTACTCTAGTCATTACTTCAATACTTTGATAAAGGAGACTCTTAAATTATGCGATTTAATTTAGAAAAAAAAATATTGATTCCTATATTGAATCTATCTTTATTTCAAGATGTTTAGAATCTTTATTAATTAAACATATTATCGTTTGATATTTACATTTTATCAACGAGAACCAACAAATTTAGCCATTTCATATGGATTTCTGGCTGTATAAAATAATATTTCTTTTCGACCTTCTTCTTCTCGACCGCGATAATTTTGTATCCAATTACGATCAATATAATACCTATATTGATTATTAAATTCATTTTCATTATATTTTTGTACTTGAATTGGTACAAATGGTTCAAGTGCTTCAATACCCTAGTAAAGAAAAGAAAAACATTAATTATCAT